GACAGGCCACGGATGCCGATTTCGTGCAAAGTAAGTTTTTAAAAAATTAATCAATTAAAGAAAATCTATAACACACAACAAAATGAAATTCTACAAGTGGAAATACAAATGGTGGTGGGAGTAATGATGATGCTGTAGTGGTGGTGGAAGTAATCATGATGCTGTTGACTGGTAGTGGTGCCCGGAGACGCTTACCGTGTATGTAGACCCTGAATTATCGGTTACCGTGTACGTAGACACTTCCATTGGGCAATGAGAGTGCAGTCTTTTGACTTTTTATACAGTTACACAGTCCTGATAGGTAATTCTAGTTCTAATTCTTTTACGTAAAATCCCACGACGACAGTTATATTATGTAACCTCCTTACACTCACATAACTCACTAAGTTAGAGGCAGAGTCAGAATAAATAAAACATTTTTTATAACTCGAGGCCGAATAGATTTTTAAAAATCTGATCGGACTCGAGTCCGAATAAATTAATAAACAATCTATTCGAATTCGACAGGTGGCCTTTTTAATATTTTTTAATAATCCCTCAGAAAACGTGAAGACACATTAGGGGACATTATTATTTTCATAATCCTGATTGATTGTACTGGGAGGGTAGTTGTTTGCGAAAAAGGGCAAGTGTGTTTGTATTGACGCAACAGTGACCAACTGTCATTCGTCGCCCGTGCCGTATTTGCCCGACGGCAGAGATAAGAGGACAAAGCTTAACGAGCAGTGATCCTTGACCAATCGACGATTCGTTGTTTTCTCACAGTGCCCTCCGGCTCAGAGCTCGCCAGTACATGGGAAAACGACGAACCAAAAGTTACGCAAACACGGATTAGGATTTGTGGGTTTTTTAATGACCAAAAGGTTTATATCGTCAGGTGCAAAATTAAATTCTACATGAAATATATAGATCGAAAATTTTTTTAAAAATTGATCCAAAAATATTTTGACCATTCGTTGTTTTCTTTTGCGACTACAGTATAGGCCTCCATCTTTCTCGGTCTCTGCTTTGATTTAATTAATTGCTTCTTAAAGTTATAGGCCACGCGCTACCTTAGACATATAATGTTCTATCTGACATTTTTATACCGTTTTTTTTGTTGTTGTTTTTTTAGGTACAAAGACCACGAGGTCAGAAACTGATACATTGTTCTATCTGCTCCATCAAAATCGTAGGACTATATATGAGTAGTTATCAAGATAATCAAAGAACTACATTCGAAAAACCCTGGTGATTTGAAACTTCAAATTTGTAACCACGAATTTCTCAAAACTAGGTACTGAGCAAATAAACTTTGTAATTCTGTAGCTTTTTTTTTTTTTTGGTAAGTGTTTTACGTCGCTCGCAAGTGCATATGGTCATATGAGCGTGCTGGACATATTAAACATTTTCAGTTGGTAGGAAATTTTGAATTTTGCCTGGATGGCGGCCGAAGCCTACTCTTATCGTTTTTAGACCACCAAGCGATCTTAAACGTGCGCAACTTGCGCACGGGACTTCCGAGATTTTAGCCCTTGTCGAGAAGGCTAGGTGTAGATCTTTCCTACTATAAAGACCATGGGTGTGGCTGAAAGACAGCAGTAAGAATGAGCCAATGAGTAGCAATAGAAAGGCTGCAGAAAGATTCATGAGCTTAGAGGAGGGGGCGAAACTTTGGAAACAAAAAAACAGGAAAATGGTAAAAAAAAAAGATTAATAATATATCGAGTAAACCAAAACACTATCTGGAATGATTGTATCTCTTTTTTCAATATGTAGCTTTTTCTGGCTATATCGGAGTTGTAAAATGTTTTTGTTAATATTTAATAACATTATTGCATTCAAACAATTGTTTTGGTAGCAAAGGTCTTTTCTTACAACTGCATCTAAGACTCGTCCATCTTGCAACAAGACCAAGGCAATCAGATTCTCTTGAAAAGGACCAACTTCATCTCAGTCACGAGAATTGCTGTCAAGCCAATTTAAATGGGGTATTGTTCTCGAAGCTGTCACCTTCGAAGAGGAAAAATTAAAATTGCTCTTTTAGCGCCATCGCATCGTTTTTCTAAAACATTGTTAAAATTTCAATATTTTCATTACTTTTTAATACGTGTCGTGTTCATAAAGACTATCCACTGAAACTTTCAGTTCCATTGTGTCCATAAGTCATTATACGAGCCTTAAAAAAGCTGTCCATTGTTATATAATGAAACCTTAATTTTTTCTTTGTGCCTGTAATCCCACACGTGACTACTGCTCAGTTTTTTGTTGTCGTTATCAAAACAGAAACCGCCGTAGGAGCGGGGGCGGTAGGTTGACACCTGGTCAGCGTCTATGAAGATTACATCACAGGCGTAATATTTGACTGGACACCCAGACGCTACCCCCTTGAGGCTACCGGCGGTTGTGTAATCTGGCGACGAGCCATGAGAAGTACTTGAATTTCTGGAAAGTTCGACGTTTCAACAAAAGAAAATGAAAGCACAACGACTTTTTACGTCCACTCATAAGGACGATTACTCCGCCCCTCCAAGCAGATTGACAGCCAATCAGAACTGTGGGCTTAACTCCTGCCAAAAATGAACCTGCTTTTGTCACAAAACAAAACATATGCAAAACGTTTGCCTGTACCATTTCTTTCATCGCGTGTTTCGAATGTAAAGTGCATGTTATTGCTTTGTATTGCCGTTTCGTTTAACTTCGGGTTGTCATCACTATATTCAGTTCCTATATCTGCGACAGTTTTATTTCAATTTTGAGGATTTGCATCTGGTTTTGGTTATGTTTCTCTCGCATTCAATCTGTTTCTGGTCGGATATAACTATTTATTCATTTCAAGTGGTTTTAATGAGTTCTGTGCCGCTGAAGGTGTCTTTAAATGTTGTCCAGGTAGAAGTAGTGTATGATGTCTTTCTTTATCACCGCATCCATTTCTCGTCCGTCTTGCACGACGGACAACGCAACAAGATTCTCTTAGCAGGGTGCAACAAAAAACGCGACAATAAAGTCGTTATCAAGCTGATGCCTATTCTTTCTCATGAGGACGCAGATCGCTTCATCTACGAGGTGTGTCTAATGAAACTGGCTGCTGACATCCCCGGAGTTGTGACTTTGTCGTCTGTTACCAGATGTGATAACAACGGCTATTTCATCATGCCGTTCTACGAAAAGAGAGACCTGCTCTCGCAAGAAGGGAATCTAAGCCACTTCAGCTGGTTCAAAGTATTTGTCACGGTGAGTTCATTCATAAATTTCGAACTTCAATGCATAATGTTTTTGATAGTCTTAACTCTTGTTGATTTACTGTGGCGTTTGAAAGACGTTGCAAATACGTAAAGGGGACTTTAATTCGTGAGTAATGAATGGGTCTCAAATTATATCGGTTAATTTGTGTTTTTACCTTCACACACACACACACACACACACACACACACACACACACACACACACACAC